TTTTTGTCTTTTTTTGATCATAGCCATCCTAGTGGGTGTGAAGTGGCATCTCATTTTGGTTTTGATTTGCATTTCCTTTATGGTTAATGATGTTCAACATCTTTTTATGTGCTTATAACCTATTTGTGTGTTTAAGAGAAATGTCTATTCGGATTCCGTGCCTATTTTTTAATTGTGTTGTCTTTTTATTGAGTTGTTAAGAACCCTTTATATATTTTAGATACAAGTGCCTAATCAGATATATGATTTACAAAAATGTTCTCCCATTCTATGGATTGTCTTTTTAGTTCTGATAGTGACCTTTGAAGCACAGAAATTTAACATTTTGATGGGTGACTGTATCTATGTTTTTTTTTTTTTTTTCCTTTTTTGTCTTTTTTCGTGTCTGGCAATGGATCGCAACCCTCAGTGTCGCGCCTGTACCGGACCGGGACCGGCAACGGGATTGCAACCCTCGGTGCCGCGCCTGCACCTTGCTCAGCCAGTGAGTGGGAACCGGTCTGTATGTGGGATCTGAACCCCTGGCGGGAGCGCCACCGCGCTCCCAAGCGGCGCACTGTAGCAGTGCGCCACCGGGCTGGCCCAATATGTTTTCTTTTGTTGCTTGTGATTTTGGTGTTGTTTCTAAGAAACAATTTCCTTTCCCAAGGTCATGAAGTATTATAGTTGTAGCTATTACATTTAGGTCTATGATTCATTTTCAATTAATTTTTGTATATGGCATGATGTAGGTATGCAACCTTATTCTTTTGCATGTGAATATTTGGTTGGCCCAGCACCATTTGTTGAAAATACTTTTCAATCTTCATTGTATTGTCTTGGTACCCTTGTTGAAAATGAATTGACCATTCCTTTGAGGGTTTATTTCTGGACTCCTAATTCTATTCTATTGATTTATTTATCTATTCTTATTCTAGTACAACACTGCCTTGGTTACTGTAGATTTGTAGTAAGTTTTGAAATTTGGAGGTGTTCTCCAACTTTGTTCTATTTTTTTCAAACTTGTGTTGGTTATTTTGAGTGTTTTACTTTTCCATATGAATTTTAGAATCAGCTTGTCCATTTTTTTTTTCCTTTTTGTCTTTTTTCATGACCGGTAACGGGATCGCAACCCTCGGTGTCGCGCCCGCACCGCGCTCAACCAGTGAGCAGACCGGTCTCTATATGGGATCCGAACCCTCGGTGGGAGCGCCGCCACGCTCCCAAGTGCCACACTCTACCAAGTGCGCCACCGGGCCGGCCTGTCCATTTAAAAAAAAAAAAAAAAAAAAACTAGCTGGAATTTTGATAGGGATTGCATTAAATCTGTAGATCAATTTGGGGGATATTGCCATCTTAACAATGTTAAGTCTTCCAGTCCATAAACATCAGACATCTTTGGATTTATTTAAATATTTAAATTATTTCAGTAATATTTTATAGTTTTCAGTATACAAATCTCACACTTCTTTGGTTAAATGTTTGGTAGTAGTTTATTGTTTTTGTTATTAATGTACACGGACTTGTTTACTTAGTTTTATTTTCAGATTGCTCTTTGCTTGTAGCTATTGTATTATATTGTTTCTTGCTACTATACAGTGAGTTTTTTAATATTGATCTTTTATCTGGAAACCTTGCTAAGTAGTTAAGTAGAACTTGTTAAGTAGTTCTAATAGTTTTTTTGTGGATATCTTAGAATTTTCTATATATAAGACTATGTTATGTCATTTGTGAATACAGATAGTTTTACTTGTTTGTTTCCAATTTGGATTCCTTTTTTTTTTTTTTCTTATATAATTTCCCTGGCTAGAAGCTCCAGTACAGTGTGGAATAGGAGTAGGGAAAGCAAACACCCATGTCTTAGTCCTAATTTCAGGGGAAAAGCATTCAGTCTTTCACCATTAAGTATGATATTACCTGTAATGTTTTTTTATTATGAAAGGATGCTAGATTTTGTTCAATCCTTTTTCAGTATCTGCTGAGATGATTGTATGGTTTTAGTCCTTTATTATATTAATATAGTATGTTACACTGATTGATTTTGAGTTGTTAAACTAACTTTGCATTCCTGGGATAAATCTCATTGGATCATGGTGTATAATCTTTTTCATATTTTGCTGAAATCAGTTTGCTAGTATTTGGTTGAGGATTTTTTTGCATTTATATTCATAAGAGATATTGTTCTGTAGTTTTCTCTTCTTGCGATGTCTTTGTCTGGTTTTGATGTCGGTAATAGTAGCCTTGCAGTATGAGTTCAGAAGTGTTCCCTCTTTTCTGATTTTTAGAAGACTTTGTGAAGGGTTGATATTAATCTTTAAATGTTCTTATTTTGCTGTTTTATGGCTTCCTTTATAGTTTATCCTTTGCTATTGTTAAATTGCAGATGGGGCTGTTAAATGGGGACTGAAAGGTGATGTTTAAGCTGGTTGGTCCCTCTAGGACAATTTTACTGCAGTGAAAGTACAGAATTCTAAATAAAACTATTGAGTCTTCATTTTGCCTCCTTCTGCTAAACAGTGATGGGTGCACCACCACTGGAAGACATGCTTAACTGCAGAAACAGATTCGAGGGCTTTTATATCTTGAGTTCAGAACCACAGTTAGAAAATGTCTTTTAGTGCCATTTCCCACAGTGGAACCATGGGTTCATGCCAAGCTCATTGTCCACACTTTAACAACACTTACCTATAACTTATTAGTATACATTTCTCTAGACACTTTATTTAAAAGAGCCTATTAAAAAGTGTTATACTGACCTTCTCTTGAATAAGAGAGTCTGAGAACAAGGAGAGTTTGTTGAATCTCAGACATCACGTAAGGTAATATGAATAATAAATATTTACATTGTCTTCCTACATGTTGCCAGGTAATTTTGGTCATTAATCACTCTACCAACTCAGTGGGAAAAATTAACACTAAAGAAATAATAACAATGACTAACGTTTACTAGGTAATTACTATGTGCCAAACACTGTCTTAAATTCTTTATATATACACTATCTCTTTTATTCCTCATAGCAATATTATGAAGTCACTACTAATATTATTCTCTACTTTAAAGATGAGGAAACTGAGAAACAGACAGGTAATCTAAGTTGCTTGTTTTCATGCAAGTAGAGAATGCTGGAACCAGGATTTGACCTAGATTATGTGACTAGAGCCTGAACCAGAAGTTAGAGTGGATTACATGCATTTCAGAGCAGGGATTCAGAATCAAGATCTCTGTATTTCAGGTTCTGGGTTCATAAGTCCTTTGTCTCTCTTTTGGTGAATAATAAAATTTGTAGTCAACATTTAAGATACGTCCATAGAGGGTGTACTTAGATGGTATGAATGACTTGAGATTAGATAGTCTCTTCAGAGACAATATAATAGGCAAGTTAATAAAATAAATATTTAGCACTTATTGAGTGATTGCTATGTTCCAGGGTAAGTAATTTACTTGTGTAAATTAATTGAATCTGCAAAGTAACTCTTTGAAATAGGTATTATTGACTAAGGTCAACTAGCAATAAGTGGCATAACCCAGATTTGAACCCAGGTAGTCTTGCTCCATAGCCTCTTTCTTTTTTTTTTTTTTTTTTTGTCTTTTTTTCATGACCGGTAAGGGGATCACAACCCTTGGCTTGGTGTCGCCCGCACCGCGCTCAGCCAGTGAGCGCACCGGCTGTTTCTATATAGGATCCGAACCCGTGACACTGCACTCCCAGTGCTGCACTCTCCCGAGTGGGCCATGGGGCTGGCCCCATAGCTTCTTTCTTAATCACTTTGCTATGCAGTTTCTCTAAGCAATCAGTCAGCTGAAATATGATCACAACAAAAGAGTCACTCCAAGAATGTGGTTATAGATAAGACTGGATCATCGTGTTTGTGTATGTGGAGAATGGAGTCACTTCTATAGGAGAGAAACACCAAGCTATTATTGTGGCTGAAAGGAGGAGAAAGGCTGGTTTGTTAATATTAGACCACCTGAAACAAATACAGAAATATAAGAAAATATATATATTTATATTTTTTTCTTTTTTTGTGGCTGGCTGGTCCATGGATCTGAACCATTGACCTTGACCTTGGTGTAAAGAAAGAGTAATCTTAAAAGGGAGCCTTTTAGCTTATGCTTTAATGGAAGGTAGGAATAGACTGATGGGTTGGAGTATGTCCTCAGTAGCTGTGACTGTTTGGTCCTGAGGGAGTCATGGTCTGGGAGGGTTTGGAGCTGTACCTCAGGGTTCTGAAAGAACAATTTTAGAAAAGAATTTTGATAAACTTCATTAGCAGATACAGAGGTTAAGTCAACAGTAGATTAACATAAATTTCAATTATAAGTGTTTCTTGTAATGTAAGAAGCATCTGGAAATTAGCAGGAAAAATTTGACCAGCCGGGATAGTATTTCTCGTTTGGTGCCAAAATTGTAATAGTTTTCTTTTTCTTGTGGCAGTAAAATCAGGGACCTGGCTTTATTAAGCACTTTTCTTTATGGCAATACAAATATTTCTCCAGGTATTGCTCTACAGTTTTCCTGCATGGTATAGAATAATGTGGGGCTATATATTTGGACATTTGGTTCGGGTGGGAAGAGAATAGGTTCAGTACCAGTTAGTGTCCATAGAGCTGAGTGTATCTGGGCCAGTTTTATTCTAGACACGTGGATCTTCTGTCTGCAGCCTTGATGGACTTCAGAGCTTCCTCATCTTCTTGTACAGACGTGTTCACCTCTTGATCAAAAAGGCACTGTTAATGTCCTTCAGAGTTTGTAGCAATTTGCAACTTTAAAGGATCATCCAAATAATCAAAAACAGTTCATGTAATGTTTTGAATGAGATTTTTATTAAATTGAAGTTTCTAAGTTTTTTTTTACGAAAAACAAAAATTACATTCATGTCAAAAACAAATAACCCACCCTCCCTACTCCCCATATGCAAACAAGATCAGTGAAAGTCAAATATCAATGTACAGGAGCTTCTAAAAAATACTTTTGGTCCATTTTCACTTTCAAGGTAACCTGGTGGCTTCTTTTCTCAAGTCCTCACACAGGTATTCAGGAATACCAGGAAGGTGTGCCCAAGATCCCAACAGCCTGTATTACAGTGGAAGATGCAGAAATGATGTCAAGAATGGCTTCTCGTGGGATCAAAATTATCATTCAGCTGAAAATGGGTGCAAAGACCTACCCAGATGCTGATTCCTTCAACACTGTAGCAGAGATCACTGGGAGAAAGTATCCAGAGCAGGTACGTGAAGGAGGTGAATGGGCTGTCTGGGAATAGGGTGTTCTTGTCAAGTTTGAGTTTTTAGAGATAGTTTGGGAACGAGAGAACATCAGTCCACAGAGATGGTCCTCGTAGACTCATTAAAAGCAGATGTTGCCAAACAAGTACATATCTCAAGTTTCTGAATAATTGTATTTTTAAGTTCTCTTTTCAGAATTTCTATACCTACTTACAAAGGAGATTTGCACCAGAAACCTTATAAAAACTGTTTTTTTGCACAATGGTTAATGTTATATAAAGTAAACGTAAAATCAATGAACACCTGTGACGTGCCACACCCTATACTAGGCTATTTGAGGAGCATTATCTAATCTAGCTGTCACAATAACTCTGTCAGCTGTGTACGCCATCCCTTTCTTTGCAGATAAGTTCTCTAAGACTCAGAGAATAAGTAACTTGCCCAAGTTACTTAACCTTTAGCTAGTATAGAGACTGGCTCTGCCTCTAAGACTATTGAAAATAAATAAACTTTGGAAACTTCACATAAAATGTGGTTTAAAGTTTGGTTTAATATTCACAAGGTCCTGGTTTTAAGTCCTTTCTCAACCACTTCCCAGCTGTGTGGACCTTGGGGAAGTGAGTTTCCCTCTTGGTTAGTTTTACTGCTATTGCTACGCTAATTCAGGTCCTTGCTGTTTTCCTTCTGAGTTTTGTTTTCCCTTCTGGTCTTTCCCATACTCCTACTGTTCTTTGCAGTGAAGCCTAAAGGTACCTTTTAAAGCACTCATCTCACCATGTTTTCCTGCTGTTAGGTTTCCCTCTCTTGTTCCCTATAAGATAAAGTTGTTATGAAATAAACACTGGGGTGAGTGATCTGAGGTCAGCAGAAGACAGAGAAAAAGAGACAAAGAGGCAGTCATATTAAGAGGAAATTTTCTGGTTCCATTCATAAGTGAACAGGAAGTGAGAATGAAGAAAGGGGAAAGGAAATGTGTGATGGAGATTCACGGCCAACTAAGAACTGCTCTTTCACCCTAGTGAGGGTGTTCAGCTCTCCTAAACTCTGGTAAACTTTCCTAAGATTGTTCAACTTTATTTTAACTATCAGTAATGCTTGTAGTGACATCAATGTTGGTTTTCATGGTTTAGGTTGACTAACTTATCCCTGACACGTCCTTGTTACTTTGTTTCATAATAAAGAATAGTGGTGCTAAATATTTCTGAGCAATAAGTTGCAGTGGAGATTTTCTCTAAAAAAGAAGAGGGTGCATTACCATTATTCTGCCTGCAGGTCAAACATCCTGAGGGATTTGAGTGTACACAGAGGAGACGAGGGTGGGCATTGATGGATAGATTCTTTTCAGCAATAACACCCAGCATAGTCCTTTACATCTTATTGTGCTTGCACAGAACCTTAATAAAAGTAAAGCAGTTACCATGTAAAGAATCCTTCTGTTTTGGCCCCCGAACCATGGACAAGGTACGGTGATGTCAGTTCTGGAAAATTGTATATGTGATTGGTGGAGTATGAGCACATTTCAAAATCCTATTATAAAATTCAGCCATAAACCTGGACTGAATTAACCACAGGCTTTTGAAAAATGCCAACAATACAAATACTTTATTGGGTTTCAATATAGGAAAATAGTAGAATAGTATTATTATGCACATGAGTTCCACCCTCTTTCCAAGGAACCCAGGATGACACATTTTGGCTTTTTTTTTTTTTTTTTTTTTTTTTCCCGTGTCCGGCAACGTGATCGCAACCCTCGGTGTTGCTCCCGCGCCTCGCTCAGCCAGTGAGTGGGAACCGGTCTGTATGTGGGATCCGAACCCTCGGCGGGAGCGCAGCCGCGCTTCCCAAGCGGCGCACTATAGCAGTGCGCCACTGGGCCGGCCCCCATTTTGGCTTTTTCAATCTCAGAATTCTCTCTGACTCTGACCTCATCAAAAACTGTGCTCCTCTGTGATTTGGGCTTGGACACTCTGAGGAAGTACATTTCACTGGGCGAAAGCAGTTTTCTGGAAGCTTTGACATAGGCCTCTGAACTCCTTCCTCTCAGACAGCTTTATCCCTGGGAAACCACAGGGTATCTCTGAGGCCCATCCATGGTTGAGAATGAATCCGAGAGAGGGAGAATGAGAGTTTTTTTTGACTTCTGAGCTGGTACTTTGTGGCACTAAAATAGCAATATCATTTCTACTCCCATTCATGAAGGAGCTATTTTGCATTTGAAAATTCATGGGAAACTTGGTGCCCTTGACTAGATTTTACTTTTTATTAAATCTATAGAGGTTATATCAACACTTAAAATAGTCTTAGACAGAAGCAGAGACAGAGAGTAGGAATCCTAGAGATCTAATTAACAACTCCATTACTTTCAGATGAGGAGACCGAACCCAGGAGTTACTTGTCTGAGGGGACACAACAAATGCTTGGTTGGAACATATCTAGAACATGACTTTGGATTTCTTGACTCATTTCTTTCTACCCTTAAGAGATTCCATTATGCTGGGGCATACGTTAGCCAGACAGTGTCTAAGTCTGAGGGATAAAGGTTGATTCAAGATACTGGCAGTGGGGCCAGCCTGGTGGCGCACTGCTACAGTGCACCGCTTGGGAGTGTGGCGGCGCACCCGCCAAGGGTTCGGATCCCACATACAGACCGGCTGCTCACTGGCTGAGCTAGGTGCGGGCGCAACACTGAGGGTTGCGATCCCGTTGCCGGTCCCGGTCCGGTACAGGAGCGACACTGAAGGTTGTGATCCGTTGCTGGTCACGAAAAAAGACAAAAAAAGGAAAAAAAAAAAAAAAATACTGGCAGTGCCATCATTACCAAGTCATTACACAGAAGAAATTGTCTTTCTCTCATGATTTTTCTTTTGCCATCTCTTTTCTAGGCACAAAGAGTCTTCATATATACTGTGCCTTGGCATCTCAGAGTTTCCATAGAGCACCCATGAAGGGTTTTCACCTGGTAAACACCTATGCTTGGTCCATTTCTTCTATGCATCCTCCCTCCATCAAGTCCTCCTTGGGTCATTTTTCTTTTTAGCCCCTTGTCACTTTGGAAGAGGATCTGATGAATGTGTCACTTCTGGGGTATTAATGATTCTTTATGTTTCCCTAATCCCTTGCGCCCCTGTTCACAACCCTTCATTCTCACCAATCAGGTGATGTGGTCCATCTGTTTAGCAGAGGACTACAGACAAAGCCAAAATAGATTTACTACCAATCACATCATTTTGGTAAAAAAAAAAAAAAAATTATTTTGAAATAATTTAGACTCAAAGGAAATTGCAAAAACAGTGAAGAGAGTTTGGGTTTACCCTTTGAGCAGGCTAATGTGGTCAATGATGACATCTTACGTAACCATAGTGTATTAATCTGATGAGAAAACTGGTGAGAAGATACTCCTGAGAGAGAGCTGTTTTCTTATAAAGCAGGGGTTGCCTCGTGGGCTTCATCTTTGTACCTCCCAGTGTGGGGTGGACCAAGCTCTGATGTTAGCCCAGTTTAGTCCTATTCCAGACTTAGTTTATGATGCTCCCATGATTTTCCTCTTTAACAAATAAATGAACAAATAGGCAAACACAGAAGGAGAGTTGTGCTCAAACTGACCTGACTGGACGGCAAACTGATCTTAAACTAGGGTTTTGTTGCAGCTGAAAGAGAGACTCTTTCACCAATAGTGTATTCTCTAATGTTGACTCTTGGGGCTGGCCCAATTCTTTTGATCCACAGCAATTTCCTAGGTCTTATTCTGAGGTTTGCTTAGTAAATACAATATTTTAAAAATGTTAATATATTCAAGAATTTTTCTTAGGGGATTGCATGGAAAAGTAGAATGTTTTGGATTTGGAGGGAGGGGGGAGTTGATAGTATTGAAACCCATTTTGATAAAGCCTTGATGAGGGGAATTTCTTTTTAATACATGCTTTTTTTCCTACGGTAGTTATTTTGATGGACACAAAGAACAATTTCAGTTTCATATGCCAGTATTATTTCAAATACAATGCAGCACTATGAAGGCTACTGGAAATATCTAAATGAAAGCCCTGGTTTGTTAACTAAACACTTCACTTTTTCTTCTTCTAGTGGAGGCACAGGGTTTCTCAACATCATCGTTATGATTCTTGGAGCTGGATAATTCTTTGTTGTGAGGGGCTGCTGTCCTGTACATTGTTGGGTGTCTAGCAGCATCCCTGGCCTCTACTCACTGAGTAGCATTCTCCACCTCCACCCCCATGTCCCACCTCCCTCAGTCTTGACCATCAAAAATGTCACTGGACATTGCCAAGTGTCACCCTAGGTTGAGAACCACAGATGTGGGGTAATGGAAAACAAAAAAGCCAAAAATCTGGATGGAAGTTTTGAGGCTTTGGTTCTGGTTTTATTTCTGCCACAAATAAGCTGAGTGACCATGGGTTGCTTAATCCTCTGTCTACAGAATGAGGGATGTTTTCTGGAAAAGCTTGAAGATCATTGCCAGCCCTAAAATTTCATTATTTAAAAAAATGCTTGGAGTACACACTGTGTGCTGTTAGATAGTAGCAAGACATGATGGGAGCCGTTTCTAAAGCTGATGTTGGAGCAGAGCATTGTTTCACATGTAGGGTATTGCTTTTTTTTTTTTAAATTCTGTATTCAAATACAGGTTAGAAACTCTCCTATGAAAAAAGTTAAGCAAACTTCCCTGCCCCCACCTTTTTTTTTCTGATGCACTTCCTTCTTAAACCTTTCATGTGTTGATGTGCACTGCGAATTAAGAGACAGCTTTGCTGCATTCTCCAAATGCGTTTGATCATGGATATTTTTTCACAGAGTGTTTTAACATGAAACACATTTCGGGAAACAGTAGAAGAGAGGCATGAGATCCACTGGGTAGGTTATGGTTTAATGTTTTTTGTTATATTCTTTTTTTTTTTCTTTTTTCTTTTTTCGTGACCGTCAACGGATCGCAACCCTCAGTGTCGCGCCCGTACCGGACCGGGACCAGCAACGGGATTGCAACCCTCGG